TAACCAATGGACTCGCATCCGTAACGCCATGCATAAGTCCGCCACCACAGCATGTGGCTTCGCCAAACGCACAGTCAATCACTGGGTTTCGGCACGTTCTCTCCAACTGCTCGATACTTGTTGAAGCACCTCTCCAGACATGAATACAACACAGTTCGCAGGACTCAGTACTAAACTGAAACGGTTCCTGAAATAAGATCGAGAGACCTGATGGGCATAACGCGTTTCCGAAATGGAACTGGCCTCTGCTTCCGGTAATGCTTACAAACTTTTTCGACTAATCTGAGCCACCGGTAACAAAAAAACGATGCGTCAGTGAAACCATATGCGAAATTATTGGTGAATGTATCCACAATCTACGTCGGCTTGGGCGGAGCACTTTCATCAACAATTCAGTTGGCCATCGACGTCACCTCCATCTCCCGATGTCTGTAGTGCTCCATGGTTTGCCGACATTTCATCACCTACGGAGGAAGAAGTCTTCCGAGAGCTCAGACTTCTGAAACGCCACATATGGCCCGGCCCAGATGAGATCCCTCCGGCCCTTTTCAAAGACAATGTTGCAAGCTTTGTTCGCGAACTAACTTCCTTATTCCAAACCATCTAGAATACTGAATCCATTCCATCCGAATGGAGTTTGGCGGACGTCGTACCTGTTTTTAAGAAGAGCCCCCGCCACGATTGCTCCACTCACCGAGGGATCAGTCTCATCTCTGTTGCATTCAAGCTGTTAACGTCGTTGATCCTTCGCAGGCTCAGTTGGACAAGAGAGCGTCAAAGTCGCGAAGAACAAGCTGGATTCCGTCCTGGCCGGAGCTGCGTTGATCACATGTTTACGCTAAACCAGATCCTCGAGCGACGTCAGACGTTTAGTAGACCGACCATCATTGTTATTTTGGACATACGTATTGCGTTTGACTCAGTTGACAGAGCAGCTCTTTGGACTTGTCTGTTGGGGAGCGGTGTGCCTGAGAAGCATATAAACTTTCTAAAAGCTGTCTACTCAAACACATCAGGCCGCGTCAAGGTCTATGATCGCATCTCCCCGTTATTTACCATCACAAGCGGAGTTCGACAAGGATGCCCAGCTTCGCCCTTCCTCTTTAATTTCGTAATAGATAAAATCCTAAGCAGCGCTCTAGAAAACTGCAACGCTTGCGGTCTGGAGCTTCTCCAAAGTGATCGACTCCGTGACTTGGAATGTGCTGACGACATTGTTTTACACTGCTACTCCTCCCAGGACGCTCAAAACTTCCTGTGTAAGTTGGCATTGTCCGTCTCGCAGTTTGGTGTGACATTTTCTCCATTGAAATGGAAGGTTTTACTACAAGACTGGCAAGAGGCTACACCTGTCCTCACGCTCATGAACGACCAGTTGGAAATCGTCGATTACTTTACTTTTCTCGGGAGTTGTTTCAGCTCAAGAGGACTGACGAAAGAAATAGCGCTTATCCGCAAGGCCCGAGTGGCTTTCGCTAACCTACATCACTTGTGGGGTCGACGCGATCTCAGTCTTTCCTTGAAAGACCGCGTTTACAATGCCACAGTATGCTCTGTCCTACTCTATGGCTGCGAGAGTTTGCCCCTCCACGCAGAAGGCATACGAGGTTCGCCGAAGAATCTTCACCACAGACAATCTCAGTCGTCCTCTGAGTGCCGCCATCTCACTCCAGAGACTTCGACGGCTAGGACATGTGTTGCGGATGCCGGCTCAACGATTGCCCCATCGTGTTATGTTTGCGCAAGCAGTCAAACTGGAAGCGGCGACACGGTGGCCAGCGAACAACCTGGGCTCGAACAATGAAGGCGCTAACATCAAAACAGGCAGTGGTAGGGTGCTCTAGACTCCCAGGTTGGGGGCCCAAGGACAGAAAACATCTATGGCTTGATACACTTACAGACATGGCTGGTAACCTGCGTCAATGGCGACCTGTTGCGAGACTCTTATTCGTTGAATTACGTTTAAACCGTTTTCAAATCTTCACATGTTTTGGCATACCTGCCAATGCTATGCAAGTGACTGTATGTTATATATATATATGATGTAAGGAAAATAAACAATGGTAGACGGTGTATAAACTTCTGCGATTTTATTGCGAGAGTTAAACTGAATGCGATACCTACATTCCGAGACTTATAGGAGGATGGTCACAAAAAATGTTTATCGACAGTTGCCGTGCCTGTTCTGAAAAGTCAGTTCACTTCTTACAACCAATAACCACGCACTTTCTTGCGCCAGTTTTAGTTGCTGTTTTTTGGTTGCCTATTTAAATATAACAGAATGAAAATTAGAATATTTCGAACGGTGTCAGAGTGGAGATGAAAGATCTGTACAGACCGGGATGGCAAGAATAATGAGTAGATGCATGGGCGCCACTGTTTACGACACTCAGTCATATCACTCAGCGTCTCTAACCACCGGTTACCATGATCTCGGGGTCCCCATACAGAGAGCCTAACGGTACTTATGTAGCCCAGTGTCCTGGTTAAGGTTTTCAAACCCTCTTAGTTTCACTTCCTTTGTCTTTTCCATCCGTGACCTTCCTCGGCAGGTATCGTTCTCGGAGACAACCCATTTAGTGACATGCGCGACACATCCCGTAGGTTTCACGGCCTGGTTCTAGACCCGGATGTCGTCTTTTCGTCTTTTCTCTGTAATAAGAAATCAGTACCATCTAGAGGCAGCGGGTAGGGTCTCCTCAACAGAGGCTTAGTCGTTTCGGAGAATTTCACAGAGTGCAAAAAAGGAGTGACCAGTGACAACCCAAGACACCCTTGATCGTATTGAGGCCTCTTGTACGGTGCAAAGAAGTGTCTTCCACCAGAGGAAGCTGAAAATAACGCTGTCTGCGCCAAACGACACCAGTCCGATGGGATAACCGAACAAACGGTGTTGAGGGAACGCGTTAAGCTTTTTTGTGGCGGTTAAACATACTTGGAATTAAGCTGCAGGAAGATGATTTTTAGGCAGTTTTGGTTATTTTGCTTTCCCTCGTTATTTTCAGTTTTCCAAGGTAAATAATGGTATAGTTAATATGCCTTATTTTATTTTGTTTCAGTTTCTACTGCCTGTATTTGACCGAACATCTTGACTATGCGCCAAACATGAAATATAAATTTAAATGCAGAGAAAATTTACTTCCTCGTGGTATAATGCTATCGGTTTCACTCGTCAGTTCCCCCCGACACCTGGAAATGTGAGCACCGCAATGTTTCGCTTCAGACATACTATGACTGTTAAAGAACCCATGAAAGCAATTTCGAAGGCGGGTCACAATTTCGCATACACGGATACAAAACAACAGCAGCCCAAACCCAAGAAAAAAGCAAGAACTGACGTCCAGAGTGATCTTACCAATAGCAAGGATACATTAGAGAACCTGTGGATATCGTCTAAGGATGTCAACACAAGAGTAGGAGTTCTACTGCACATGGCTAATGTTGCTAAAGATGCAAAACAACTATATCCTCGACAAGTACAGATTCTGCCGGCATGCGTCGCTTTCTGGACAAAAAATTTTCCGAAATGGAACAAAGCAATACCAGCTGAGGCTGTTGACGGCCTCAACAGTGCCAACACAGAGTCCTTTTCGGTGTTATCACAAACACTAGCCAGTATCTATGCAACCAATAGCAAGCTGGCGGCGCTGGCCGATGTATCTGTGGCAGCTGGTGAGGTAAGTCTGTTTTTTGTTGTTATCAAGACGTTATTCCCTTGAAGTATACGACCCTGTAAGGACTGGTAGTTTTGGGTTATCGAAGTGACACGAAGTCTCGAATTAATAGTGACAACCCATATCAGCAGATTATTTCTGCTAACTATTGTGTTATAGTTTCACATCTTCCTGGTTCCAAACCGTTAGAGAAAAAAATAGCACAAGCAATACTGTGGCAAAGAACTCTGTCCACAATTTCATTGTGGATAGCTCACAGCTGACTCCTTCGGCTAGCCTAAGGGTAATGGTGGCGGTGCAGTGGTTTAGTC